ACCAGCGAGTGTAAGGAATCATTGTAAAATCAGTTGACAAATTAATAAATTAATCGCACATCTCGGGGCAAGCAAAGGGGCGCCATCCAGCGGCCGTTTTACTAAGTGTAGAATTAAACCAAGGGAAACGTCGCCACAACTAATTCACACTGTTCCGTGCCTTTGCTTCATTTCCTTGCAATACGTTCACTCAAAATGATTACGAGAATATAGAGGGCGAATGTTCAGTGGTACTCACCTCCTAAACGGACGCAGCGCGTCTTCCAAGGCGAATTTTACCCACCGAACTTTTGCCCTCCAACTCACTCGCCATATTGAAACGGCGTGGTCCTACCACCTGATGATAAATCATCAGGATTTGCATACAGAAATGCCGTGCAGAATGTGCCATGATCTAAGACTAAGGGCATAAGAAGAGTTTGCTTAAAGTCTGTCAGATAAAGTTCATATATATTCACAGTGATTGAATCGCCTACAAACGTCACGAAGTCTGTACCAGTGCAGTCGCGAGTTTCCCTCTGGTGACGTTGTTTACTCCAAAACGAACTTCTGTTCGAATGTTCTTTCGATCTCCAAGACGTCACAAATGGGACGCGGCACCTGCGTGTTGTCAAATTCGAACGCCACCTTGTGTAGCGCAGTCAACTTGACACTTTTCACCAACTTTCCTCCAAATCTCCCGGAGATATGGAGACGAAGACGCGAGGTCTAGGCCAGGGTGATGGCGGGAAGGAGAGATCGTCTGTCCGTCAGGAGCGTCCTGGCATCTGGAGCGTCATGGCGTCCTGGTTGGCTGAACCAGTCGGTGTGGAAGTGGATCACACCGAGAGTCATGGTTAGTCACGCGTGACGTTCACAGTCACTAACATTCGGACACTGAGGTAATTTCAGACTATCATCTCCCGCGTTCCCTACTGATTGACTTATTTCATCTCAACTACCTTTTTAAGTATGTATGATTCTATGGTCTCATCTGAAGATACCGTTATCGTCCAACTCGTCCGACTTTATCCATTTTGTCTCCCTAGCAACCGCTTCCCAGATTGCTGAGACCACTGGGCGTACCGATGATCGCCGTGACTCTGTGGCGACGCCCCGAGAGGCGACTGTTGCCCATCAGGGGGAAGGCGACGTGAAAGGCACGGCCGGTCACAGCCGCAGTCGGGCTATCCGTCGAGCCGCTCGCTCTTCCCGCAGAGCCAAGCGGCCAGCTTCTGAGAAGACGACAGCCGATGCATCGAAGGTCCGTCGAAAGCGACAGAAGAGGAAAGCTGACGAGATCGAAGGCGACTCCCGACCCCAGCCGAAGAGAAAGGCACCAGCGGGTCCACCACCAGGTACGTACCGCGATCCCCGCCTGTCTAGAGTGGCGCTCATCTACCGAGACGTGGTCGCAGGAGAGACGGTCCTGGTCAACTACATCCCCGACGATCCCTGCCCGTGGGAGTCGCCCGACGGCGAAGAGCTGTCGGCCTGCCAGGAGGGCGCAACCCCCAGCGACGTCACCTTCTGCAGCTCGTACCGCCAGTACCAGGACTTTCACACCAGGAGGCTGCTTTCTGAGGTAGCCAGCAAACTCACGATGTGGCTGGACAACCAGGAGAGGGAGTGAGGTCCATCCGAAACAAGTTGGGACTTTTAAAGAATGTCCAGAAAATCATATACATTAGGCCAATAAGGTCTTTTAACAATTACTATATTTTTATATAGAAGTCTGTAAGTATATCTATTTTCATACGTCAATGAGAAAAGAAAAGCATCCTCATGGTTCACAAATGTTATGCCACTATATGGGCAGGAACCATTCAGAGGGAAAAAGAATAATCCATGAATTCCGAACAGGTTGAATTTTTATCCAAATGAATTTGAAAGAAAGAAAGGGTGCAAACACAGTAAAAAGTGAGGTCTGTTTTGATGACTTTCGCATGAAATGATACTACACCATGTGTCAAGTTATTAATAAGTGCAATAGTACTACTACCACCAATATCTATTTTGTCAGAGAGAATGAGCATCTTGTTTATTGTAAAAATTTTATGGCAATATATTGGCTTTGACCAAGGAGCTTGCTATATATGACAAAATACCCTCTATTTATACTGAGCCATTGAAAAGCACATCAAGATTGTATTAATATCTCCAAAAGGATGCTACAGAGTAATATTTGTGCGAAAAGTGTGAGAAGAGTGGTGTCTTTGTAAATCATGTGTTTCTGTCTATATTGATGGCTAAGTTGTAAAACATGACTGTCCTCAGACGGAATGACGGATTGTATGTGTACTTTTTTTGATTAACTAGTATTTGTGCTCTTTGTGCCAGGCCCGCCGCTTACTAACGTGCATTGCGTATCGCAATAAAAGGCAATGGGCACGGAAGGTCGGAAGGTAATTTGTAGCTATGTATCTGTATGTGTATTGGTAGGGCTACAGCGACAATTATCAGCTACACCAAGCTTCCATGCTATATGGAGTTGAAATATGTGTATCACATGTACACTTGCAAAATTTGGGAGCTCATATCTCAAAGGTATCTATGGAAAAACGACTTGAGTTGTTAGCTGATCTCAACACTTTACTCAGCTATATAGCTATATATCAGTTTTGTCAGACAATTACGTCGCTCGACCAGCTGGCGTTGCTCGTGTTAGAAAAGCATGGCGTGTTTTTAAGACGTTACACGACAGACACACTTAGGAGTATAATGTGCTTACTTACTTACTTTGCTTACGGCTGTCCATCGATTTCAATTACGACATCCCTCAATGTAGTCTCTCGCTCTTGGTGGGTTCTTCGATGGCTGTTGATCATGCCAGGACACGGCCGCATACTTCGCAGACGTACTGGCCCTGCTGCCGAGTCTTGCTCTGTTGGACGCCCTCTGGTTGTAGATGGAAGTGTATGTAACAGCTGCTGACGAGCATGTATGTCTCCAGCGGTTTCTGTTGGCTGCGAGACATTCTAGGTCTTGTGGCGTCTTCCACTGGTCTTAATTTAGGTTGGCTTTTACATGTAAGTGGTCCTTCCGCTGACCTCCTACAGATCGTTTACTTGTGGTGAGTTCGCCGTACAGTACGTGCCTTGGTAGACGGTATTGTGGATACCTGAGAAAATAACTGGGGGAAAACGGCGTCTACACGCTTATGGACTTGAATGAACTGGGCATGAAGTCAACCAACGTTACTAAAATGCACGTTTGTGAGGGCTATGAGGTAGATAGAAACTACATGTCTCTCTTGCGGAACGTGAATCTGATATTGCATACGTACATGTATCACGTACCTGTGTCTGTGTGTGCCAGGATACCGTCTATCAATATATATATCTAACTATCTATCTATCAATGGTCATGTCAAGTCAGTGGCATGACCATTCATGACGTCACACTTAAAGTTCAGTGACAGTTAGACATCCTGGTAATAATACACACACACACACACACACACACACACATGCACACACGCACAAACACACACACACACACACACACACACACAGACACACGCACACACACACGGACACACACACACACACACACACACACACACACACACACGCACACACATATTCAGATATGTACATATACCATGACACAAACACTTCAAAACAACTTCCAAACACAAACTTTCCCAGGTTGCACAAAACTTTTATTTCTGTACTTAACTTAGTTTTTTGCTTCAAACTATGATGCTACTCTGTGGTTGTCATGTTCTTTTCCATATGGATAAACATGTAATCCCATTATCTTCAGTTCAGCTTAGGCTGTATACAACACTTGAAATACTGGTGTGCTATACTGGTGTGCTAGAGGAAAATAAGACTTAAGTACTAACTACATACATGTACTCCTACATATCATAATCATAAAAACTCCCATTCTGTATTGATCATCCTTTTCACAATATACAATTTACAAAGTCATAAAATCTTATATACACATTAAATACAGAAAAAGTTACATACACCTGATTCCACAGTCTTGGTACGGGTAAAGTTTTAGGGTTTAATCTTTTGGATGGAAGTTTCTTGAGTAAAGAATATTGCTGTTGATATTTATTAAGATTGGTGTCTGTTCTGGTTACATGTACTATGTAGTAACATTATGTCCTAACGGTAGTAACATTATGCTTAACTAGGTTCTGAGGTTAACACCACCAAAATACAAGCACACCCGGATTTATTTTGCGTGCACACTTCAACATAGTTTTCTTACTTCCAAAACCGTAGTTTTTGCTGTGCCAATGTTTCTATGACCTCTCTGTTGTCTTCATCAGGGCAAACTGAATAAATGGTCATGTCAAGTAAGTGCCATGTCCATTCATAACGTCACACTTAAAACTATGTTCAGTAAAGGTTAGACATCCAGGTCATAATATATGCCAAAAAACAGTTACTAAAGCAACTGGATATGATTTTGGAAAGAGTCAGATGTTTCAGGTAGCATCCACTACCTTTCATCCAGTGTCACTGACGAAAGGTAGTGGATGCTACCTGAAACATCTGACTCTTTCCAAAATCATATCCAGTTGCTTTAGTAACTGTTTTTTGGTGTAAAGTTGAGTTTGCCCTGATGAAGATGACACCGAGGTTGCTGAAATGTCGGTACAGCGGCAAAATATATTTAAAACTATGTTTAATTGATTTAACACCCTGATGAAACTATTTGCGGATATTGTACACACTGTTTGAACATTAGTAAACTTTTCTTAAATTCTATCTCTACAGTCAACTGCTGGTATGATGACCCTATATCTAATGGCCAAGCAGCAGTGTAAGTACACATATACATGAAAGTGGGCCTGAAATAAATAAGACTTTACCTAAAACTCTTTGTTCCATGTCATGAGATACATCTTTACGTAATCACTCGGGAAAGAAATATTTTTGTATATATCCTCAACAAACATAACTTCAGTATTTTAGCTTTCAATAAAACTCTTTTCCTTGTAATACTTTGGACAAGAAATCCCAGTGTTACATGTATATGGAATGCACAGAACCCTTTGTGAGAGATATTTCATATTATTTACAGTCCCCCATTCAGTATGTGCAACTACATATTGCATCCGTTCCAATTATGGACAGAAACATAACAATTAAGTATGGCAGGTATTGCTCAATTTGCATAATATCATGTAAATCACAGTGGAACAAGCTCAACAAGCTGAGACATTAAATAAGCCTTTTCAACATATTTAAGGAGAAAAAGAGAACATTGCAACAAGTACACATCCTAACATATCTTATACTTCAGACTAAAGCAAAGTATACTGCAGCATAGTTACTAGTACATCTATAAGTTACTTGAAGTGTGGTTTTGTCCCTAGTTCTTGCAGTGTTGTGGTAGTACTTAAGCTGTGGTTCCTAGTCTTCAGGAATGTGGCAGCAGGTGTGAGAAGGTGGTCAGCTTGTCTTCATCATGTTTTTGAAGTCTTCCAAGGCTCGTATGCTTTTTGACAGCCTGGGCAGAGAGAGGTGCAGTGTTGTCATCATTCAATGTTACTTACCATAACACTAGATTAACAAGACTGTAACATGTGCAGAACAAAAATGGGAAGTTCTGCTGCAGTGCCAGGGAGAGCCGCCAGGAGGCTTGTAATTGACCTTGACCCAAGACCTACTCGCATATCAAATATCAGAACAATCCATCCAGACCTTCTTAAGTCTATGTTGAGGAAAAATATGCAGAAACACAGACGCACACACACATAAACTGACCCAAAACAATACTTCCATTTATAATCCATGCATGCACACAAAGTTATCAATGTAACATAGAGAAAAATAAGGTAAACTTTTCCATCTGAGGCACAAGCTCACCTTCCAAAGGCGTTGACCAGTGCAACAATCTCTCGTCGAGTCATGTGGAACTGCCTGTTGTGGGGGATGTCTGTCCGACCGATGATGTCACCTGAGAACAGGACCTTCAGAGCCGTGCCTAGTCCATGCACCTAAACAATAACAACAAGAAATCGGAGATTGTAGACTTCAGGGAAGTGTGTTTGGTTTTCGTAAATGTATTGTTTGCCTTCACACAGTCTAGTCTATCAAACTACTGCTCTGCTTTTTCGTACTCAAATACATTATAATATACGGTGACCAGCCCCTCTAACTTAGCCTGGTATCCAGCCTTGTTAGCTTTAGTTCGCTACCCAAGGGCGGGGAGTGGATCTTGAGTAGCGGACTAAAGCTAACAAGGCTGGATACCAGGCTACCTCTAACTCTGTCATGACACTTGCTACATAAATTAATTCAAAACCACAGGGTGTCTGCTACAGTGCCAGTTACCATGGAGACAGCTGTCTGGTTCAGTGCATTGACCTTATTTGTTTGGAATGGAAGAAGAAATGGAGGAAAAACATGTTTTCCTTCTGCAAAGGTAAACATAAGTATAGAGTGTTATGTTGTACCTGTAACTTGCCCCAGAGTCGACACTTGTCACACCCGACACAGTCCATGATGCGGGTCACGTTCCAGAAGTGCTGGCGGAACTCCTCCTGGAGATGGGGAGGGGGGCAGGGATACGGTAGTTACCTTCTACTTGTACTCCTACACAATTCACGTTACATTTCCCAAATAGGGTGAAAAGTGAATCGAACAACATAATACCCCTCGGTGGGAAGATATCAACAAATTTTCCTGATAGCCTGAGTAGATGTATGGATATGTTTCACATGAAAACTCAAGTTTTCCCTGAAGTAGACATCTAAGAAATGAAGCTGTAGGCCTCAAACTGTGCATTTGTAATGGATGAAAAAATAGCACATCAGTAGTGACCTTTCTACTATGACCTTGATTTACCTTGAGTCTTCTGGCCTCCTTGGGGTCACCTTGGAACATGGTATTTTCATCGAACTGGTATGGGAACTGCCTGTGATTAACATAATAAAACACAGCATTAGAAACTGTACAGATCACAAACTGAATATTTCACACTGGTTGTATTTTTGTTTTCAAACCTTGTTCCAGACAAAAGACAGAAGGATTTTCAATTTTTAGAATTACCAATATAATAAATGTAACATGCATCACCTACAAGAACAGAAAATTGCATAAAAATATAAAAACCTAAATCTGCATTCATTCGTTGTATGTAATGTAGCCCATACTCAAAAATGTTTCACCACCTATAAATAAGATGACCTTCAACCTGACATTGAACTCTGACCTTGCGACCTCCAGCACCTCCATTAGCAGCTGGCGCACCTCGCTGTCCTCGCGCTGGTCTCCCGTGTAGAACGTCTGGTTCAGGAAGTACGGCGCGGCCTTGACCAGCGCTCGCAGCTCCAGCAGGTACACAAAGTACAGGTTCTTCAGCCTGGTGGTGCCCTGTGGTCCCACGCTCTCGGGCGAGAAACGTTTCCTGAACTCCTCTAGTTTAGGACCCCACTTGGTCCTCCCCCAGCCGTCTATGTGGGGAATTGGTGGGCAAGCGTTACCAGAGGTATCTTTTTGGCTAGGGCCACATCAATATGATATGTTGGTTCTCAGAATTTTTCAGGAAAAATATCAAGCGACAGGACGGAAAAAAAATGAAGACAGACCTAGGCATCCTCTGATAGCCCTGAAAGCTACGATTGGAGCCATGAAGTCGACATACAAAGCTGGTAATATTATGATTCAAACAATGAATTTTCAACCTCTAATCAAACCAATGCATTGATAGATGGAAAAACTGTAACAACTAGGAAAACAAGGAGCTTTTTTCAACAGAGTATTTTGGAGTTGATTCAGAACCTGAATATTTTTTCTGCAAATCAGAAAAAAATTAAGCGGGTGAATCCGGATACAAGAACCAATAAATCAAATTATTGGTGTGGCCTAAGCCTACTGACGATGTTTAACAGCATTTCTTCAATGTTTTAAATGGCAGAATATCACTCAGTAGAACGCACTGCGCCTGCTCAAAACTATTGCATAAGATATCTTTCCTGACAATACATTTTAAAACTACAGACAGGATGTCATCCTTAAATATGCAACGTTCCTTTAACAACATGTTCTGTAGAAGTAATGCATCTTATGTTACACTTTCTGCGCAGGTGCAGTACGTTCTGCTGACATGCTCACTACTGTCAGTCAAACTTCAGTAAGTCATCATTGCTAGTCAACTGTTACTAGTATTATCAGTACGTACTGTCGCTACTGTCATTGCTATGTCAATTCTGTCAAATGTTCCTAGCGTCGCTAGCTCTACCTAACACTGTCCTTGTCACATACCTCTTGTCAGACACACATCACCTTGGTGACCGTCAGCTATATGGGTACATGCAGTAACAGACAGGGAAACACTGCACATTAATGTCCTGTTATTTGTCATCTAGACTACCACAGTCTTGCTAACACTTGAAACCTGCTTATACATGTAGATACTGTTAGTATTGAACATGACAGAGGTTTGCAATTTGGATGTCTTCTGTTGCTTTAGTTTGTACTCAGTTACAAGTTTTAGTAATGTAACAGTTACTTAACCTTCAGCCTGCTAGGGTACCTGTTTAGCACCAATTTTGTATTGGTTACTAAGTTAGGCGGCAGAGAGAAGGTTAACTGGGGACAGCCCTATGTTCTGAAACCCCTATGTTTTGACACCTTAATGTTCTGACACCCTACATTTTTACATTAGGGCTAGGGTTGTTGGAACATAGGGGTTTTGGAACATATCGGTGCAATCACTTAACCTCATACTGTATATGTGTGTTGCAGTATGACTCAAGAGTAGAGTACAGTACAGTAGAGTATAGTAGACTAGAATATAGCATAGAGTTTATGGTCAGGTACTAGGATGTTTGTCCAGTTTGGAGGGGCAGGGGCAGGGTTATTATAAATCGCAGCTGTATCTCACCTGGCAGCAGGTGTCGGGCACACAGGTGTATGTTGATGCTGGAATGCAGCCCAGAGATGACTCGGTAGAACACACGCTTCTCCAGACACAGACCTAGGGGTGGGAGGGGGGTGAGCTTGTGATGAGACCAAGGTTTACTGAAGGACATTCTACAGATTACCAGTGATTTCTTTATTTATTCACATTTACCAAAACCTTCTGATACAACTTAACAACCACCTTATGATTGCAAAATTAATTTCTTTGACTCTGGATATTATTGATTACTCAAAATATAATATAATACAAAATATTCTAACATGCATGTCTGTCATGTGCATTGAAGGCTGTTGGAAGGGACAGAAGTGACATGAATGGGATTATGTACAGGGAAGATTTGAAAAGGTTTCTTTACTAAGTAACTAAACAGCAAAACAACAGGCACCTTCAGCTTAAGTCCATGTCATGCACAGAAAGAAAGCACAAAAAAGCATAAGCACATTTGAACAAATATGGAAGACATATCCATATAAGGACAATACCAACATGTCATATAAGGAAAAGAAGCCATTTTGTTCTGTAACTGTTACAGTGAAACTTGCACAGAAACTTTTATGCCACATTCATGCACATTGTTTTTGTTACACATGCATTCAGTAGTGTGACAGAAAGGGAGACAAAAACCCTTCTCCCACCTTCCATATTATGACTAGAGTCACTGTTTAGTATGTTATTAAGCCCTACAACAAAAAATAGCAGCAAAAAACATTTAAAATCTATTGCATGAAAGTTATGTGGTTAGTGACAAGCAATAAAATCATCAACATGTATGACAGAAAGAAAAAGGGTGATAGAACACAGGTGCAGGGATCAATCATTGTGAATCAAACAGAACAATCAATCAGCCAATCACTGTGGAGTTAGGGTTGAGTTAATCAGGAACTAACAGAAGGTGACTGCTGGTTGGTTGTGTGATGATGTGTGCAGAGATTCTGTCATCACTGATTATAGGTCAAATGTCACTGTCTGTCTGTCATCTGTGGGAGGGGGTGAATCATGTAAGTTATTTACAACGGACACACCACAAGGTTTAAGCAAAAAACACACATTCCTTGCAATTTGTACATGCAATGTGACCAAACAAAACGTTGGCATTCAACATTGCAAGGAATGTGTTGTATTTTCTGAACCTATGTGGCTCTGAGAGAGATTGTAAAGTAATTATAAAGCTGTACTTGATGACAACCCTTGCTGTTTACAGCATAAGAAAGAAAATGTGATATGTACTGTTAACACACATCACACTATCTTCAGTATGCTTCAAAGAGGATTTACAGATTTCAAAGTTGTCCTGCCAACAACACAAGTTGATTTTTAATCTTTTTTTGTGTACCTCAGTAAACTTTTCATTGAAAGTTGAAGTTGACAACAACTGAAAAAGGTGATCACACGTTGGAACTGGACAGAAAAAAACTTGACCAATGAAGTACAGCTTTACAGATTAGATGACAGGAGTGATGTTATAGGCATTCATTGGTCCACTGTCTTAGTGTATGGAATAATATTATTTACATCATCAAGGGTCTGTTCTGAATATATCTGTCTGCCCATCACAATATTTTTTTTACATATTTATGATGAATAAGATATAGAAAAATACGTGTATACAAAATTTTCAACCTGTTTTTTAGTTCCAATTATCAGTGTTAGTCATGCAAAAGCTTATATATGTTACATGTATAACCCAAAACAGGCCCCAACAGATACCACACCACTGAAACAATTCCACACTACTGCACCACACCACACAACACCACTATGGTTTACCATGGAAGGGCACTCTTAAAAGTTTGTAACTGTTGTTTTCTCGAAATGGAAACTCTGCAGTACTAATTACGAGGCTGAACAGCTTCCAAACCACCTACAATTCTTCATGCTAAAATTTTTGTCTGCATATACCAAACAGTTTTGGGTAATGATTTTTAATATCTTAATGATGTTTATGTACAACATTTCAAAACTGGGTTGGATCATCACAGGCCATACAAACTATGTTCATTCAGAAAAGGTGTGTCAACTTTTGAGACAGCCCCTTTACCATGCCATGATAACACCACAGAGGAACACTTTACACCATCCCACTGTCTACCTCTACTACTGCTACCTCTACCTCTACTCTACTGACACGGCATGTTGAAGCTAGCACAGCACACAGCAGACAGTTACCTTCAAGTGGGGAACCTAGAAAACAAGACAAGAGCAAACAACAGGTAAGTATGGGCTGTGGTTGGGAAATAAAAACACTGCTGGGTCCATGCTGTAGAACAAAGGGCACTTTGCTGTGGGTGCTCAAATCTTGAGAAAAATGTACTGTGCAGTTCTGTAACACATTGTTCTTCATCCTTTGTTTGGGATCACAAACTACAGCACATACAGTGATTCAGCATTTTCCCATGCTCTATAGTGCACTTATAAAGTGCAAACATACAGAAATATTTTGACATAAATACATGCAATTACATGTGCATGTACATTCTGCTCCTAAAACAGTAATGGCAGTCCTGTAACCATATAACCTTATCAACATTTCTCCCATAATATTATATATACTGTATATATATGTCACATCTTCAAATGTCACATATTCCTTCCACGAAATGTCATGATGGTAACAATATTAATCATCAAATACAAGACCCATCCTGATAGTAAAAACCTCTGGGAGCCATGCCAGCCATTAAACAAAACAAGAAAATTGCTTCAACATATTTTTAAGACTAGAATACCTGACATAGAATTATTGTGTACATTGTACCTTTTGATACGATGTTGGGGGAGTACGATGGTCTTGTAGACTGGACAGGCCTGTAGGGCAGATAATTATGTTATAAACATGTGTCACCACTGGTGCAATGGCCAAGTGGGTACATGTAGACTTACATTTGGAAGCTAGGCTGAGTTTGAACCCTGGGTGAGTCATACCAAAGACTTTGAAAATGGTACATTCTCCTTGTTCTGCTTAGCACTGAGCATTTGGAAAAGAGTATGGTAGTTGAACATACACCACTACCAGTTTACAATTCCCCCATTGCAATGCCACATCTCTTTGGCCCAAGTGCTATTGAACTGGAGATGGTAGCCACCTTAAACACAATCTGGTGAGGGAAGGACTTTTTAAACTAACTGACTAATATTCCCACTAACTTGAAGCAGTTCTCCTCATAGATGCTCCTCCATATCCTGTGAGGGGACTCCCCCTTGTAGCCAGTGTAACGTTCCGGGTTCAGCAGGAGGTCAACGTACTGCATGTCATTCTCATCCTCATCTGCAAGAACAACAAAATTATGCTTGTATCTAACTGTTGCATGTAGTGTTTTGTAGTGTGTGGAGCACAGCATCAGCTGAATTTGCTGCCTAGTGCTCCACGTGTATTGCTGTACTTGCAACTTGAATAAAGAAAGAAAAGAATACAGTCACCTAACAAACTAGAAAAAAATGTGAACAAAATATGATTTCAAAAGGAAAGTCACTTGATTTGCCACTGTATATAAGATATAACATTTAACTTACTCCCTGCTGCCTAAACCCATAACCAGTAGAGTATTGGTAGGCAAAAGGATACATCAGTGTGCTAAAGGTTAAATCTTACCATCCATGACACAGAAGCTGAGCTGGGAATCATCGTACTCTGTCCATTCCACAAACGCATCCTTGCTCTCTTGGCTATAGGAAAGGGTATACATATACACACATATAAGTCAATCTCTCATGACTTGTAAGGGCTTAAAAATAACAGGTAGGGCAGGTAAAATTGGAACTGTGGCATTTCTGATGTCTACCTGCACTGGTCCATGTACTGTTTACATACAAACATTATTGTATGTGGATTTTTATTAGCTACATGGACTGTCATCCGAGCTACATGTTTGAAATTTAAAAGGAATACATGGTGATAGTTTCTGAAGAGTTTTTAGTGTGATCCACTAAATTCTGAATGGTGCAGGAAAAATTTGCCTGTTGTAGGTAATTTTCAATATTGGTTATATACATCTGCAGGTATGCAGAAAAAGTATTTCGACCCCTGCCAGTGCATTGCTATATACATGTATGTGGAGACAATAGGACAACTGTTTTGAGTAAGTCTTACATGTACATGTTGTAGTTAGGAGTTAGAGCCCTCCTCACAAAACTATCTTTTATCACTACATAATACCAATTCCTGCTGGCAATTGTACATAATACTTTCTTCAATTGTTCATATAGAAAGAACAGATCCTCGTACAATCACTAAAAAATCAATATTCTAAGCTACAACACTGACAGACTCCGTGGGTAAGAAGCTTATGTATCTTACTTTTCCATGATTAAATTGTCTTTGAAACTTCACGTTGGTATCCACTTAGCTCATGAAAATGTGGCTCGAGTGTAAAATCAATTGTGATTTTTCATTCTCAATTGTTTATGTGCAGACCACCATATCCGTAAGCCTTCAAACAAAAAACCAAATCTTGACGTGTCCTTTCTTTTGGATAAACATGCCCACAAGGTCTCCCCTGGCTTAGAAACAGGATGTGGTGGGTACTAGGCTACGTAGTCAGCAACATAAACTAATCACATTATCCGTAATTGCTGTAGCTTAGAAGCAAACACACTCAGTCACTTCCTCTGTCAGGCTCAAAACAAAGACACTTGTAAACAAGTGGCTTGAATCATAAGCTTTTATTAAGCATTCTCTCAATCAGGATATAATGTATATGTAGATAGAAGTGGTATTGAGATATATACTTCTTTTAGGAGAAAGTTAAAGAGAATGGCAGATACTGTAAATCTTAAAATTTTGCAGATGTTTTACTTTTGTGGTGACCTCTCCACTGCAGATTTATTTTCCAAAATTTGTATTGTAACTGTACTTTCATCGGCAGATTTAAATCACCTCAAAAATGTTCTTTCCCCTTCTATCACAAAATCAAGCCCCCGCAAAAATAAATGAATCTACAGTAGAAGGGAAAAAAGTATGTCAGTAACTGGCCTGTGGAATTAATGGATATGCGCGCTACTAGGCCTATTATACAACTCTATTATATCTGCAACCTTTCACCTATGAAAAGCACTTGAAATTCAAGTGTCTGCGTCACAGTCTAAGGGGTAACAACTGGTGAAATTTATTTCAAGTATTACCTAAATTCAGTACAAAACCATACCTAATGCAACCAAAATTTACCACATAGTAAATCATTACCAGAAGTAAACATGTCTAACCCTCGGAACACGGGGAACAGCAGACGTTACGTTATACCAGATAGAGAGAGAGAGAAGTAATAACATTATCCTAACCTGAGGGTGTGGTCCACTGTACTCAGCTCCATCATTTCATCACATTCCTCTTTCTCCTTCAGGGAGTCTGTCATATACTGTAGACAAGAGTAAAGATTATCACAGAACAGTTTAACAAACTCCTGTTTTCATCACTTCTTAGATTAGAGTGACAGCACTTGCAGAAAGTAGAAATGTATGAATATTTTTAGTAACAGATGTCAAAAATCATTCTGCCACTTTGTCACATAGCAACTTTATTAATTCATAAAAAAAAACTTCCATCACAATTATTTCACAACAGTGAGGATCGGTGTTTGGAACACTATGATTATGTGTCCACATCAATACTTGAAACAACACAAAAATATTTTTCACATTACCTTTTTTATTTCGTGCCCATTTCTCATTCCTTCAGGCAGCACCTCCTGTTTTTGTGAAAATCAACAATGTTGTTACTGTACAGACTATAATTTGGATGGAAGTAGAGATTTATTCATACATGTATTTAATATGGACAAAAACAAAAAAACAGTCACGTGACATATTGTTTCACAACTCTTTCGGGCATGTACATTTGTGATTATGAACAGGGGTGATTATAATGCAAGATGTCAATAATGATGTAAAACTATCAGGGTTTTTTAGGTTAATGTTCAAGTTTCTTACCTCTGTACAGATGTCTACTGCACAATCCTTTAGTGCACATTTGCTGTCATCATACCAGAAGGGACACTCCTTGTTCAGGTTAACCTGTAACAGCACATGTCATGGCAAAGTGTAAGAGTACAGCAAACACACAACTACTATGCCCCTTTTACTCTGCCCTGACACTTGCTACATAATATCATTCAACACCACATGGTGTACATGTCTACTACAGCACCAGTTACCATGGTGACAGAGGTGCTAAAGGCTATTTTGGTCAAAAGAAGGTTAATGTTTAATGAATGTACATGTAACACACGGGCACTTATATTGAAAATGCTGTTTTTAATAAATTTACTGGTACCCTGAAATTTTAGTACATTTATTTATATATTTATTTCATGCCATTTGGAAAAAGGTGACGAAATTTTGATGACCTGACTTTTCAATAAACATTTTTAGAATTACTTATCCTTGTAAAAAGCACTTATTCAAACCAAGTTCTGTATAATGTCCTTGTTCAAACCATTTAAGTAGAAAAACATACAACAGATTAATCAGATTACAGATATCAGTGTTTGTTATCAGGTAATTCCTCATCTGTAATGTATGTCTGTGATAAACATCTCTTAAGCTTGAACAATGCGCAAACAAGAGGTCTGTGTAGTACGCAGATTCTTTATCACAACTAAACTATCAGTACCAAGCTTAAAACAATACATTTAAATATAGAACTTATGTGATATGACAAAAACTGAGTAGCATTGCTAGAAAATTCACACAAGTCTCAGGACCTCAGGTAGAATTAACCTTTAGTATGCTAAGTATCCATCTGGCTACCGATTCTCTATTTGTTATGGGGTTAGGCAGCAGGGTGAAGGTTAAATAGTGTGCCTTTATTTGTAGTTCGGATCAAGGACATTTGTACATAACATCCTTGTCCAGATGTATTATTTCTGGACTTAACTTCTTGTCTACAACTGTACTCTCTACTATTATTGTTATTAGATGGCAAATGCTAGTACAGTTCTTGTATGACAACATTCTTTTCAAAGTAGTTAGAAGTGAATGCAAACAGTAGTTATAATAAGAGGACTTGATCCTGGAACAGTAGTGGTTGTCACCAATTGGAGATTCCTTAATAAACATATTAACAAACAAAGAAACTGACCTTGAAGTATCTGAAATAGTTCCTTCCGAGCAGCTCCTCCAGCAGGGGGTGGATCTTGCCGTTGTTGAAGGAATCGATGGATTCTACGTCACAGCTACAGTCATCCAGACCTCCCTTCAACTGTGTGGTACAAAACCAATCAATCAATCAACTTTATTGCACAACCAATTAATGTAATGGATACAATTTATTCAGGGCTCTAAATATGTTTTTCTGTTTACCTGCACTGTTGCCATTACTGTATTTCTTTTACACTTCATAGTTGGTGACAGTCAGCACAGCCAACGAAAATACACTGTTATTTGTGTGGTACATGGGCTGGTGTTGGTTATGCGCAGGTAGACATCAGAAATACCTGAACAGCCCCAATTTTACCTGCACTAAGGTGCATATGCACCCAGTATTTCGAGCCCTGAAGAATATAATACCATATAATAACCAAAATGTACAGGAGACATTATAAGTTTGCGTCTGAGATAATCTCTTTTGCGTATAGCACTAGTTACACGTAGTACCAGTATACCTCACGTCATTTAAATCTCAATAGTATTTGGCCAATGTTTAACTCCTTTGTATATATAATGCTTGACTTACAAGGTCTGGAGTTATATGTTGTCTGATGCAATCATTAGGAATTCCTGAGATGACTCATAAACTATGTCTAATGATCAATCAATGATCATAATGATAATGATCAAAGCAAAAAGTTCCTTCCATTTCAGATAGCTTTAGGTTTTTCAAATATAAAAGACAATTCAAAACTGTTAATACTGCTGCTAGTATTTTACTAGTATTTGCACATGTAACACGAAGGCACGTATGTAACGTTATAATGTATACGTGTCTCTCAAACAACCATCTATGGCCTCACCATGTCCTCATGATATGAATAAGGATACTAAGGATAAACACATTATGAAAAGTGAAAGTCAACATCTTCAAGGAAAATATTTTCTTATCTCTATTTGTGAATTTCTATTTTCACCCCACAAGAGACTCAATGTCATACTTAGGGTATCTCCTTTGAGACGTTTGGAATACGATAATATTAACATATACATTAGTGATGAACTATTGGGATGGCTAAATGTTTTTTAAGTGTCTGGATTCTATGTAACCGTTACATGTACATTGTAGTCGTTCAATAATTCAGAACCTTACTAACAGTAACAGTGTTCCATTAACACTGTGTCTGAGGGTACGTAGGTAAGGCGTACGTGTATAACACACTGCCATCTATGGCCTCCTTGAAAATATGATCATCACCACTTGAATAAGGATTTGAAGCTAAGGCTATTGTCATTGAAGCCAACCTGAGTAAAAACGCATGTGGTAGCAAAAGTGGAGGTTTGAAAATATCTGCCAAAACCAAGGTAAAGATGTATTCAAGCAATAAAGTACTAATCCAGACAAATTCTTGAACTACCTTGTTCTATGAATGCCCTTGGCTGATGTAACACTAACATTTATGTACAAAGCCCAGACCACCTCAGTTTTAATCACCTACCTTACACGAACACTCGGCCTTGTCCAGAAAATTGGTGCTGGTCTGACTCCTATTCTTGTTGCTTTCTGTGGCCAGGAAAACAGCCAGCAACACAAGAACTTGTAGAATCAAAGGCCTCCCCATTCTGATACAGATTATCTTTCTGTTTTGAGATATACGCCTGGGGGGAATGTTATAATGTATGCTTCACCCTTATACAGTATACCCAATCACCTGTAAGTGACACGTAGTCCACGTAGCTTTTTCTCATTTAAACCACGCCCCTTTCTACACTACTAGACGTCAGTCACACTCTATTTGCCATCAAATAGAAGAAAACAATGAGAGAGGGACAAAATCGATGTGACTTTGTACCCAAAGTTGGTCCTTCCCACGGCGATTGGTACACCGGGACCTGTTAAAGGTACACGCGCAAAAATACAAACATGTGCCGACTGGTGGAATATAAACACACGGGGACCAGGCGCACTCGTGGCGACTGTTTTGTATTGCGTGCAAAAAATACAGACAACTGTTGGTGATTCGCCAACTATTTCTAATTGATGAAAACATCGCTAAGTAAAAGGGAATTTTCGAGTAATGAGTGTGGGAAAGAAAATTCACTTCCCTCTTTCGAGATTGTTCCCCAGACAATCAACCATATGGTTAAAATTACACGACTTCCCTCTTATGCATATGCATGACGTGCGCTAGACGACACGGAAAATTATTACGGCGTGCGAACGAGAGATATTGGAGTGAAAAAAACAATTTGTCGAACGCTTTTTTCCTTACATGTAGCTACCTTGATCGTGGGAAAATTATGTGCGGCGAGGCTAATTCAGTTTGAGTCGTTACACTAGAGCATTCGGTGTGACGTTTTTAACGTTATGTTGCACAAGATCACATATTTACAATGAACGTATACAGAACCATGACGATCATACATAAGAAACTGACATCTACTAATCTCTAACTGGACAAAATAAACTACAACATCAGATGTCACCTCTACACTGTACCGTAGATAGTCTCTGATACGATTAAAAGATGCCCCCCTCCCCCTCTGCCCGCATTACAGCTTACATTGCAGAAGCACTGCTCCGCCGATGAGTTTTGTCTCCTGGACCCGATGGCAGGAATGAGAACCAAGAGTCCCGTGACCAGAAGATGGATCCTAGATGCCATTTTCCATGCCAGGATCGTTCAAGACGACTCCCAATATTACACCAGCTGTCACTGCCTCCTCCTTGTTGATGGTCGAGCCGCTTCACAACCTTACCGGAGATCAATTCGCCTAGCTTCTGGAACTATTTCCTTTCATCTACGGGTGACTTCTATTATGTAAATTTAACGTAGCGGATTTCGCATAGATATATATTAAGACATCATTAAGGATGTTTGTGGCTGTAATTACAGGTTTGCGATAGCAAAACCTGTTCTATTTTACCTGGATTTTATGGGCGCCGCCATTTTGTTTCCCGTCATGCAATGGGGCAGGTCAAAGTTGAGTGAGGTGCATTGTGGGACCTGTCACAGGCCTACAGTGTAAGGACGACACCTAGCGGTATGTTTGGAAAGAGCAGTAATTGAAAGCCTACCTGGTTGTGTGTTCATTTTGGCAGAAGTGTATAGAGGCGATGGCTTTGACGTAATAAAGGCGAGTCTGATTGTGTTTAGCACTTGACGTAATTTTCTTAGCATGACGGGAAGGAAACTTGGCGGACCTAATGCGGCGGAACTTTAAAGTTGTTTTTTTTATGATGAGATGGTGA